TCATCGTCATCCTCATCCTTCTCTTCAACTCTTTTACGTTAAACTCACTTTAGGTATGATGCCTGCTGCGCTCTTGGACTGGGAGCCGGGAGCCGCGGAAGGGAGTGCGGCGGCAAGTAGAGAAGAAGAGCAGGCGCCCGCCAGGTACTAGAGGTCAACACGCACCTTGATGTGTAATGCCCCACGCAAGTACCGAAGTAGAACAGCCATCCCATACCCACATTGCTACAGACTGGCAAGCTGGACAATAGCGCTGGCGGGCCTTGGTTCAGTTAAGTATGACGCTTGGTTTTCCCAACCATCCTGCGGTGTTGGGTCCTCGCTTTGAAGAGGCAACGCCCCGCGTCACTCACCCCTCCTCCCCCCCCCATCCTCCCTCTCCTCCCTCCTCCCTGCGTGCGTTTCAGCCACTCAGCACAGCGCCTCGCGCCCCCATAGGGAGCTCCACCGAAGGCCTCAGTGCCACTGCCAACATGCGTCACGCACACCCATTTCGGCACACCCCTCACACGTTTCGTGACCCCACAGGGAGGTCCACCGAAGGCCCCACTGCCACCGCCCGCATGCGTGATGCACACCCGTTTCGGCACGCCACGCACACGTGTCGCGACCCATATCGCCACACCTCTCACACACAAGTCGTGGCCCCACAGGGAACTCCACCGAAGGCCCCAGTACCACCTCCCGCATGCGTCACGCACACCCATTTTGGCACACCCCTCACACGTTACGTGGTCCCACAGGGAACTCCACCGAAGGCCCCCGTGCCACCGCCCGCATGCGTCGCGCACACCAATTTCGGCACAGCCTTCACACGCTTCGTGGCCCCACAAGGAGCTTTACCGAAGGCCCCAATGCCACCGCCCGCACGCGTCACGCACACCCATTTCCGCACACCCCTCACACGTTTCGTGCCCCCACAGAGAAGTCCACCGAAGGCCCCGGCGCCACCACCCGCATGCGACACGCACGAGCGGCAACGGAGGAGCGGGAGCAGGACGAGGAGAGGCCGCTGGCGCGGCGGGCCGCGCGCCTCGGCGCCCGGGGACAGGAACGAGCGGAAGAGCGGCCAGCAGGCGTTGAACATGGTCGAAGCGTTGACCCGCCAGCCCCCCAGGGAGGAGGGGGGGGCGCCCGACGGCGGGATCGCCGAGCCCGAGCGCCAAAGCGGGAGAGCGGATCGAGCGTCGAGGCGCGAGCCGGATCGGGCCGCAGCGGCACGGGAGCCGGAATCGGATCGGATCGGCCGCGCCAAGAGGCACGGCAGCGCCACGCAGGCACTGGACCGCCTCGGGTCATCGGAACATCGGAATCGAATCGGATCGGGCCAGGCAGAATCGCTCTCGAATCGGATCGATCGGATCGAAATGGCTCCTGGAAAGTGCAGGGGTGCGCCAGGGGGTCCGCTGCGGTCGGGGCGTTCCCAAATACCCGCGCGAGATCCTTGTACGAGCAAGGATCGAAAAACCGCGGTCGCCATATAATGGGCCCGGGCCTTCAATTCAACCACTTTGGTTGCTATTTTTTTCTGGAGCACACTTCTAAAAACCATACTTAAGACGCCCAGGGGGTCTAAAACAACGCTCCTTACGCAGTAGATTTTTCAAACGGCCAGTCGCCGACTATTCCCCGACCACCCGACGAACGGCGCACAGGGGCAAGAGGTTAGGAATAGAGAAGGGAAAGGAGAGGGAAGGGAAGTGCAGAAGGACTGGAAGGGAAGGAGAAAGCTAGCCCAAGGCCAGGGCACAGAGGACAGAGGGCAAGGGGCATCATTCGTTGTTCACTCTCTTTCTGTCTCTTTCTCTCTCTCGCACTCGGGGTGTCTACGCTGTTGTCTCGAGTTGCACGTCGTGGTGGGCTGCGACAGCAAACCCTCCTCCTCCTCCTTCTTCTCTTCCTCCTCCTCCTCATTCCTCCTCTTCCTCCTCCTCCTCCTCCTCGTCCTCCTCCTCCTCCTCTCCTTCTTCCTCCTCCTCCGACCAGGGCACTGCAACGCGTGCGAGAAGGCGCCCCGAGAGGCTCGGATAAGTAGGATATTAGGGAAATGGTCGGATAGGTTTGAGGAGTTTCGGAATAGACTTGGCTGAAGTCAGGCAGGCGAGCTAAACGGGAAGCGAATTGAGCGGCGTTCAAAACGCGAGGTTTCTTAGAAGGCTGGCCACCCTCCATCGCAACAAAACAGTGTCCACATCGACCCCGCTCAGTTTCCTCCTCAAGGGGCTGCTCGGGGCAGCATACAATATGCACGAATTCGCACAGACTACCATTGACAATGATATGTGGTCCAAGGCCTGTGCGATAGTGTGCGTGACGATCTCGGGTGATTGTTCGGAACCGGCATGTGTTGTCGACTTTGCATTGGCCTTTACTTTCGCCGAAAAAGTCTTGACGGGCTTGATGTGCCAACCGTAGCACGTGCTGGGTTCCAGGAACTCCGAATGCCTTTTATCCACCGAAGCTACGTCCACGCCACGGCTACAGCCCAGGCGGGCCAATC